TTTGAAGTTTTTAATTGTATTTTACAATTCTGTAGAAAATTCTGAGTAAAAGATGAGTGAGAATGTGACATTTAGATAAAAATTGTTTTTATATAGTCTCATCTAAGGGTCTTATTTTTTCCAAGCTTGTGCTCTTTCACTATGGCCACCTAATTATTTTCCTCCACACTTCTGAGCAGTTACCATTGAAGAGAGAATTAATATTATTATTTTGCATCACTATTACTGCAATTACTGTTTAACCTTCACTGTGTATTTATTGTGGGTCAGTGAAGTGTTTTAAATAATTTGCTCTTCATGAGCCTGTTAAGACACCCATTATATTACTGGGGAAATGAGAGGGACAATTAATTTGACCAAGGTCATAGACATAATGATTGTATGTTCCTTTTTCCCTCCACTCTCTACATGCTGTGTTTTTAGCATGTGTGCTAAATAATTCAAGCCAATATTACGGTTCTCAGGAGTAGACATTGACGCTTCTACTATTTGTATTGTGCAACTAAAAACCCGGTACTCTTCTGGGCCTCTAAAAAGCACTTTACAAGAAACAGAGCAATGCTGTCATCAGCAGAAGGTGAGTAGTGAACATCAGACACACACAAGTGTCCTTAGTTTTAAAGAAGAATTTGTTCTTTTTATATATATTTTTTTCCCCTGATAACATTAAGACCAAATTTTCCAAAGTGTCTAAACAAAAATTTCACTGTAAGTTTATTTTTTTTAATAAAAACTCACAGTTCTGGAAAAATCTACAATTTACTTCTTTCATATCTAAAGACTTTGGAGATTAAATTTAGAATAACATATTATACACACAATAATCTATCCTAGCTTTAATAATTTGAACAAAAATTGAAAGTTATTATTTTTTTGGAATTAATTCACTAATAAAAACTTTTTAATAAGAGTTTTGATAATTAACTTTTATAATCTCATAAACATATTTTCTTCATTACTATAATATATAGGCTTTTTACACATTAATTGAAAAATTAGCTATAATTTGGAGATGATGAATAGACATATCAATTTCTGAGAAACCTCAACCAATATTTAGCCTTCAGTAATGACAAAATATTCAAGACTCACAGCAAAACTTCGGGGAGATATACACATACATATATATATATATATACACATATATATATATATACATATACATATATATAAAAAATATGTATATGTACATATGTTACTATATATATGTATATATGTGTGTGTGTGTGTATATATATGTATATCTATATCTTAATCTTATGTCCCTGGTCAAAGAATTACATTGAAATTCTGGGCTTGTTCAAATTTTCTGTGTAATGTGAAAAATATTTATCTCTCATAAACTATTTTTTAAAAATTTCACATGATAGCTGATTTATCATACCCCAGATGTATAATCTGATAAATTCAAGCTTGACTAAATGGAAAATAAAGCATAATGACTGAAATTTTTGTTTTTAATGGTGTCATCAATCATATCTGCTATAAATATTGCTTTTCTTTGGGTTAACTTCAGAGGTCTTGAGACTAAAAACTTAACTCTTTATCGAAGCACTTTTGTTTACATCATCTTTAGACATATCTGGAATTTTGTACCTTTAAGAGTTAAATGTAAAAGGATTGGTAAGTGAGAACATGAAAAAATACACCATTTTGCTCTCATTACATATCACAATATTATTTCACATTTCTCTTTTCTTCCTAATGTTCATAAAAGTGCCTAAAAAAACTTGATCTAAACTTTAAGAAATGAAATGTTCGATAAATTATGCATGCTGTTTCTAAAGAAAAACACGAACTATTTGGGATTTTTAAAACTTGGTTAAAAATGCTGCATTGTAATATAGTAAATCAGGATAGCAAATGCCAGAGACCTCATAAATATTAGCTCCAAATTTATAGATTTTTAGCTTGTTTGAAAAGGAAAAAAATAAAATTTCTGTTATGAAATGATTTGAGTTCCTACGAATGAAGCATGATTGCTGACTGACCTGTGCACTGATTTAGCTGTGATTCACCTATTTACATCTGCTAGGTCTGATATAATTATTACTCAAGGATGTTCTTACGCATATATTTGCTTTTTAAAATTTAAATATATTTTTAATTCTTTATTTATATTTTCAAACTTTTATGTTTGGAGAATTCAGATCTTAAATATTTTCCCATTATTTGACTTGCACCTTGAATTTAATAAATCTAGTTCTATATGTATGAGATTTTTGAAGAAGAGAATGGGTAACTTCACAAATCTTAAAATAATAATAATAATAATAATTAACTTCCTCAGAGTCTGTAGCCAGTTTTGCCATGTATACGTCGTTCTTTTCAGTGCCATGAATCATCATAAGTGGCAGGTTCATTACTGTAGCATGCTGAAAGGATGGTATGAAAACTATCCAACACTGACTTGTGAAGTAGTCCACCCCCAAACAGTATTCCATTACTTTGTGTATCATTCCATCTGGATTTTCTTTAATGTTTTGATGATTATTCTTTTGTTTAGTCTTGGAGAACTCTAGCTATGAAATTCTGAGCTCATATTTGAACATAGTATTGAAACTTTTTCAATCCATAATGAATCTCTGCATGCTATTTAGAGTCAACTGCTTTGGGGATTGCATTCAGCAATTTTCCTGCAATTCAGCCACATAATCAGAAAATATAAGTATATCTTATTGTGTTATATATTTATTCTTCTTAGGAATCCCTTGCTTTAACTATGTTCAAGTGAAATCAATTTTTTTGTAAGAGAAATAGCTTAGAACAAAATCATTAAAGTCCCTTTATTTTCAATGATTTAACACTGAAAAATCATCCCATTTGGAAAATCTAATATTGCTTTTATTCCCTCCACTAAAAAGAAAACATACGCAAATATGTGAGTTCCAAAAGCGAAGGCTACAGCAGCACAAAACCAACACACGTAAAAATATTTGCCTAGGACTGTTATATAAAACAGCATTACCAGAAAGAATTGATGAGTAATATGTTGCAGGCTTTAAAGGAGCTATAACATATAATAGCTTGATAAACATGATTATGAGAAGAGGACACTAAAATAAATTTTTGAAGAAAATATAAAAAAGGCAAAACTCAACGCTATTTTTATTTCAGTAATCGTTTTCCTCCTTCTTGAATTTGTGAGATTTCCTCAATATTTGCTGAATTTTTGGAAGACAAGGGTTTCTAGCAGGCGCTCTAAAGCATTTGCCAGAAGGTGGCGACATAAGCCCTATTGCATAGAGCTGTCCCAGGTGCTGAACCAGGTTTCGGAGCTTGAGAGTATTCAGCAGCTAGCGACCAGGGATTCCACCAAGATCTCCCTAGAGGTTTGTGGGCTTTTTTTGGGGGGGGGGGCGCAAAAGACCATATAAAATGTCCAATGTCATCTGTAACATGTAGGAAAAATATTTTCTTTCCTAACTTTACTCGCTATGGGAAGTGACAGTATTTGCTGAAATTAAAAGGGTAGAACGGATTTGGGGTGCGTGTGTATGTGTCTGTAAAATACATACCGAATTCAGTTTTTCCTTCACTTTGAGACGCAGCTGTATGCCCGTCTCTGTCTTAGACACATCCTTTATTATTATTTTCTCCTCTATTCCCCAAGGTTAAAATATAAGTCACAGGCAACATCCTGGCCAAAGAAGTCAGACTACACTGTTGGTTGATAAACTGAACAGGGGGTGTTTTTTTAAAAAAAGCTGAGATATGTTCCGTGTTCTTTACATCAATTAACAATAATTGACAGACTGACCAGGGCGGTCCACCTTCCCATTAAGGCACCTTGTGGCTCCTTTCCTCATTTCCTACTGCCACCATGCGATGCTGACTCTGCTAGGAATTGGGCAGAAATATGAGGCAGTGGATAGTTAGAAAAGGTGTGTGTGTGTTTCTCTCCTCAAGGTTGGCTGGGTGGGAGGCGGAGTTTATTTGTTACAGTGTTGGCGTGACCGAGTTTTGAGTCTTGGTCGGGCGACCAAAAGAGACCCGAATGCGAAGACCCTGAATTAGAGGGAGAGGAAGGAGGGGACCAAAGGAAACTCGGGGTTGAGGAACTGTTAGAAGGGGAAGGTGTGTGTGTGTGTGTGTGTGTGTGTGTGTGTTTGTGTCGGTGGGGAGAGGGGGACCTACAGTTGGAGCGACACACAGAGGGATAAAGAAAGGGGAATGAAATATGTTCCGTGTTCTTTACATCAATTAACAATAATTGACAGACTGACCAGGGCGGTCCACCTTCCCATTAAGGCACCTTGTGGCTCCTTTCCTCATTTCCTACTGCCACCATGCGATGCTGACTCTGCTAGGAATTGGGCAGAAATATGAGGCAGTGGATAGTTAGAAAAGGTGTGTGTGTGTTTCTCTCCTCAAGGTTGGCTGGGTGGGAGGCGGAGTTTATTTGTTACAGTGTTGGCGTGACCGAGTTTTGAGTCTTGGTCGGGCGACCAAAAGAGACCCGAATGCGAAGACCCTGAATTAGAGGGAGAGGAAGGAGGGGACCAAAGGAAACTCGGGGTTGAGGAACTGTTAGAAGGGGAAGGGGTGTGTGTGTGTGTGTGTGTGTGTGTGTTTGTGTCGGTGGGGAGAGGGGGACCTACAGTTGGAGCGACACACAGAGGGATAAAGAAAGGGGAATGAAAAGGAAGAGGGAAACTGAAGGGGAAAAGGGGAAGCCTAGTGGGGGAAGGGGCAGTAGGCTGAAGGGAGAGGAGACACAGGACGAAAAGTAGCGGAGAGGAAGGAAGGGAAACGGAGAGGAGGGTCACAAAGTGGAGGATGGGGTTTCTCTATTCCAGATAGTTCTGGGATTGGAGACTATTTGATAGGGGAGACTCCAGATTCGGCAGCCGGTTGGGCAGCGGCAAAGTACAATGGACAGCGAGAGACAGACATTCCTGCCACTTCGCCGCCGCCCAGAGATCCCGGAGCTGCTTTCAAGCCAACTCCAGTTTTTCAGCTGGAGCTTCCGACCGTGCTGGACCGCGGGAGCTCAGGGAGCGCCTAAAAGCCGCCCCTTGGAGATGCTTTCACCAGAGCAGTAAGAACTTCCTGCTGGAGTCTCTGCATCCCCTGGCTCTGAAACACCCCCTGGGAAGGGGCGGAAGACCCCAGGGGGAGGGGCGAGGGGGGATCCTAGCGCTGCTCTTTTTCCCCTCCCCCTCCCCCGGCGGGCGTGCAGGCATGGATGTGCTCAGCGCTAGCCAGAGCAACAACACCACATCGTCCCAGGGTCCCTTTGAAACGGGTGGCAACGCTACTGGCATCTCCGACGTGACCCTCAGCTACCAAGTGATCACCTCTTTGCTGCTGGGCACGCTCATCTTCTGCGCGGTGCTGGGCAATGCGTGCGTGGTGGCTGCCATCGCCCTGGAGCGCTCCCTGCAGAACGTGGCCAACTATCTCATAGGTTCTTTGGCGGTCACCGACCTCATGGTGTCGGTGCTGGTGCTGCCCATGGCCGCGCTGTACCAGGTGCTCAACAAGTGGACCCTGGGCCAGGTCACCTGCGACCTGTTCATTGCCCTTGACGTGCTGTGCTGCACCTCATCCATTCTGCACCTGTGCGCCATCGCGCTGGACAGGTACTGGGCCATCACGGACCCCATCGACTACGTGAACAAGAGGACGCCCAGGCGCGCCGCTGCGCTCATCTCGCTCACTTGGCTTATTGGCTTCCTCATCTCCATCCCGCCCATGCTGGGCTGGCGCACCCCTGAAGACCGCTCAGACCCCGACGCCTGCACCATCAGCAAAGACCACGGCTACACTATCTACTCCACTTTCGGCGCTTTCTATATCCCACTGCTGCTCATGCTGGTTCTCTATGGGCGCATCTTCCGAGCCGCGCGCTTCCGCATCCGCAAGACAGAAGAAGGGTGGGGATACTCGTCTGGGAGCATCCTCAGCCCCTCAGCCCAAGAAGAGCGTGAATGGACAGCCAGAGAGCAGGGACTGGGGGCCGGGTATGGAGAACAGAGCTGGCGGTGTCCCGTGCGCCAACGGTGCGGTGAGGCAGGGCGACGATGGCGCCGCCCTGGAGGTGATCGAGGTGCACCGAGTGGGCAACTCCAAAGAGCATCTGCCTCTGCCCAGCGAGGGCGGTGCTATCCCCTGCGTCCCTGCCTCCTTCGAGAGGAAAAATGAGCGCAACGCAGAGGCCAAGCGCAAGATGGCCCTGGCCCGCGAGAGGAAAACTGTGAAGACTCTGGGCATCATTATGGGCACCTTCATCCTCTGCTGGCTGCCATTCTTCATCGTGGCCCTAGTCTTGCCCTTCTGCGAGAGCAGCTGCCACATGCCCACCCTACTGGGCGCCATAATCAACTGGCTGGGCTACTCCAACTCTCTGCTCAACCCTATTATTTACGCCTACTTCAACAAAGACTTCCAAAACGCGTTTAAGAAGATCATCAAGTGCAAGTTCTGTCGCCGATGATGACGGAGTAGTAGCCGGCGACTGCACCCGCCCTTTCACTCTGCCTCCAGCCCTCTGGAATCAACACCTAAGATAACTTGATATTTCTCCTCTTACTTTTGCAGCTGCTCCGCCCACGGCTTTAGTTCGGGGATTGAAGACTATTTGATAGGGGAGCCCCCAGATTCGGCAGCCGGTTGGGCAGCGGCAAAGTACAATGGACAGCGAGAGACAGACATTCCTGCCACTTCGCCGCCGCCCAGAGATCCCGGAGCTGCTTTCAAGCCAACTCCAGTTTTTCAGCTGGAGCTTCCGACCGTGCTGGACCGCGGGAGCTCAGGGAGCGCCTAAAAGCCGCCCCTTGGAGATGCTTTCACCAGAGCAGTAAGAACTTCCTGCTGGAGTCTCTGCATCCCCTGGCTCTGAAACACCCCCTGGGAAGGGGCGGAAGACCCCAGGGGGAGGGGCGAGGGGGGATCCTAGCGCTGCTCTTTTTCCCCTCCCCCTCCCCCGGCGGGCGTGCAGGCATGGATGTGCTCAGCGCTAGCCAGAGCAACAACACCACATCGTCCCAGGGTCCCTTTGAGACGGGTGGCAACGCTACTGGCATCTCCGACGTGACCCTCAGCTACCAAGTGATCACCTCTTTGCTGCTGGGCACGCTCATCTTCTGCGCGGTGCTGGGCAATGCGTGCGTGGTGGCTGCCATCGCCCTGGAGCGCTCCCTGCAGAACGTGGCCAACTATCTCATAGGTTCTTTGGCGGTCACCGACCTCATGGTGTCGGTGCTGGTGCTGCCCATGGCCGCGCTGTACCAGGTGCTCAACAAGTGGACCCTGGGCCAGGTCACCTGCGACCTGTTCATTGCCCTTGACGTGCTGTGCTGCACCTCATCCATTCTGCACCTGTGCGCCATCGCGCTGGACAGGTACTGGGCCATCACGGACCCCATCGACTACGTGAACAAGAGGACGCCCAGGCGCGCCGCTGCGCTCATCTCGCTCACTTGGCTTATTGGCTTCCTCATCTCCATCCCGCCCATGCTGGGCTGGCGCACCCCTGAAGACCGCTCAGACCCCGACGCCTGCACCATCAGCAAAGACCACGGCTACACTATCTACTCCACTTTCGGCGCTTTCTATATCCCACTGCTGCTCATGCTGGTTCTCTATGGGCGCATCTTCCGAGCCGCGCGCTTCCGCATCCGCAAGACGGTCAAGAAAGTGGAGAAGAAGGGTGGGGATACTCGTCTGGGAGCATCCTCAGCCCCTCAGCCCAAGAAGAGCGTGAATGGACAGCCAGGGAGCAGGGACTGGGGGCCGGGTATGGAGAACAGAGCTGGCGGTGTCCCGTGCGCCAACGGTGCGGTGAGGCAGGGCGACGATGGCGCCGCCCTGGAGGTGATCGAGGTGCACCGAGTGGGCAACTCCAAAGAGCATCTGCCTCTGCCCAGCGAGGGCGGTGCTATCCCCTGCGTCCCTGCCTCCTTCGAGAGGAAAAATGAGCGCAACGCAGAGGCCAAGCGCAAGATGGCCCTGGCCCGCGAGAGGAAAACTGTGAAGACTCTGGGCATCATTATGGGCACCTTCATCCTCTGCTGGCTGCCATTCTTCATCGTGGCCCTAGTCTTGCCCTTCTGCGAGAGCAGCTGCCACATGCCCACCCTACTGGGCGCCATAATCAACTGGCTGGGCTACTCCAACTCTCTGCTCAACCCTATTATTTACGCCTACTTCAACAAAGACTTCCAAAACGCGTTTAAGAAGATCATCAAGTGCAAGTTCTGTCGCCGATGATGACGGAGTAGTAGCCGGCGACTGCACCCGCCCTTTCACTCTGCCTCCAGCCCTCTGGAATCAACACCTAAGATAACTTGATATTTCTCCTCTTACTTTTGCAGCTGCTCCGCCCACGGCTTCCGGATCTCTTTTTCTCCCTCCTGCACTAGGGTGAAGGTGTTCTGTGCAGAGGCCCCAGTGGCGGGGCACTCGGGCTCGGGAAACTAACCCCAAAGGTCTATGAGAAGCGACCGTGTTCAGACGTAGGTTTCAGCTTCAGTTGCGATCCCAGCAATTTCTTCCTCCCTCTTCTATCCCTCAAATCTCCGCGGTGGGAATTTAAGCCTCAGCCATCCAAGGGGAGTATTCTACCAAACCAACACACAGCCGAGTCTGCTAACGGCCTCACCTGACACTTCCAGAACTTGGTCTCAAGGCTCAGGACAGCGCTCCCTCTCCCGCCCTCTGGCTCTAGAAATGTTCTCTCTTTTCCGATTCACCTCATCTTCCCTTTCCCTGCTTCCCTCTCTGCTCTTGCCGTCCTGACGTAATTTGCTGGTCGGGAAAGGCTGGAGTGTCTGTCTGCTTTTCTCTGGGCCAGTGGTGTCACCCGCAGTTCCCCCCATCCCTGTCTAGACTCCCAGGGGGTGCTGCACGTGCTTGCTTTGTTTTGTTGAATTCAAAACAAGTGGCTAGAGGTGTCGCTTGCGGTGCACTTGTAAGTACAAGGCTGAGCCAGTGGCGGGAAGCGAGGAAGGGGTGTGGCCCATTTTATCCGTGCTAGCCTGGGTATCAGCACGACCGGGGAAATTGACCACCTTAGAGTGCGGAGTTTACGGTCTGAATACGTTGCTAGCAGGTAGCTTGTCCTGGCACCACCGCTTACCTACTGCGGGAGGCGCTCGCCTGCCGCAGTGTGAGCACAGGGAACTAGGAGACCTGGGACCCGTACGCCTGCAGGGCGGTACCAGCTCTCGCAGACTGTGGGCTGCCTACCTACATGCCCGAACTCCCGGAATCGAATCGAGGGTTGATAAATTGGTTTGTCCAAGCCCGAGACTTTAGGTCCCGCGGAGTTCTTAAGACCCAAAAGACCAAGAAGGCTGTAATGGGTGGCATGGAGGGACTGAGGAAGAGGGAAGTGCCCAGGGCATGCCTGCCTACGCTCCAGTTTAGCTCTCCCCTTAGAACCCTTAAGGGCAATTTTATCCAGAGAACATGGACATTTCCCTCCTTATTCACCCTCTTTCCTCTTTCGCATTGGGGAGTAGCTCTGTTTAGTGCGTCCTAACACTGCACTAGATTTGTCCTACATGACATTCTGGACATAGAGTTAGCAGAATTTGGGTGAATACGAAATCTGGGCTTTCAATAGAAGGAGTCCCATTAGGTTAGCACTCATCATGACCTCAGAGGTGGATACCTTTATTAGTGGGGGTGCTCTTTCTAGGAAGTCTAGAGAATCTTGTATGGGATTCTGTTTGCTCTGGCTTGGCCTTGAAACTCCAGGATTCTATGGGGACATCAGCTTTCTGTCCTTTGAATTAGTGGAGGACTCCAAGCTTTCTATTCTTCAAAAGTTTTTCTTTCAGCCTCATCACTCCCTCTTGCTGAGAACCCAGTAGCAATCTTTGCCATCCCCCAAACGGAAGTTATTTTGGTGCTCCGTTTGAATGTAAATTCCAACCAAATGATGGGGATCAAGAAATTTGTCAGAATTCTATCTAGCCTCTAAGTTTCTGATGAGTAATGGTTTTGTTTTCTGTAGTTGCATAAATTTACTGATTCTTAACTTCCATCTCCAACTGTACTTCTTGAATGTTTGAATCTACTGATTTGCAAATCATGTTTTATGTACAGTTTGCAAAATTGCCAATGAAAGTTCGTATGTTTATAATTAAGAAGGTGAGAAGACACCTCTATCACTTGAAGCTATTTTATTGTGTGTCTAACTGAACAAAACTCTCTTTGGTGTCTTTTCTCTCTGAACTGGGGGTAGCCTTTTTATTCTGTTTAAACAGGGAAAGTTAAAGAACTCTGGGGACAGTTTGTCTATGTATCTGTAATGCTGATAAGGGGCTGGAGTGCAGAAGATGAGGTAGATTTCTCAAATATAGCTATTGTACATTTGAAAATTTAACATTTTTGCTCACAATAATGTAAGTCAAGCTTTATGAGAAAAAAAACTTTTCTCATACAAAATATTTAGAAAAATTCTACATGTAACATAACTCAAATCCAAAATTTGCAAATTTATTATGGACATAATGAATTATTAAGTTCAAAGCTTTGAGACTTCACTTACATGTGTCATTTACAGAATTGTATGGCAATGACTTTTGGACATTTGTTCTTCCTGCTTTGTAGGATTTACACAAGAATGGGGGAACATACAATCAGAGTATAATTGTGAAGGCAATCGAGAAATTAGACAAATAAGTGCAAAAAAGTTGCATAGCTCTAAAGAGCCCCTGATGGTTTTTTAATTTTCTTTTCAAGTATTATTTGTGGTTAGGCAAAGTATTTATGCATCAAAATTGACCTTCACTATTCCTGTGACAATAAAGGACTTTAATAAATGGTAATGCTACAATAAACTGATACCAGTAACACATGCCATATTTATTTTAATCAGAAACTCTATTTGTGTTCATTTATGCAATTTTATTTGTAGAAATTTAAAATACAAGTTAAAAAATACAGTTGTTAGGAGGAGACCATACTATACAGGGTCAGGGATCTGACACTTGGAGAAGTTAGTTTAACTTCTACACTGAAACTCATTTTTGTTGAGTGTTTTATTTTGTTTTGTTTTCTAAATCCTGTCTCTAGAAAGAGAATGTCAGGTTTTCTCATTTAGGCATGAAACCATGCATTCTTCCTGACCGATGACTATAAGAGTTAGGTATCTGTCTAATGAATATGGTCAGGGTAGGACATGTATTGAAGAGAAATGCAGCCTCTGGTAAAGGCAATGAGCCTGTCCTTCCAAAGCAGTGGACAGTGCTGAGGCCTGTCCTCCACAATGTCCAACTAGAAGAAAATGACCTCCCCTGGAAAAGAAGCAGCTTGTTGTTTTAGGGTTGCCACACAATTAAAAGGGTGTTTGTCAGGCTAGGTTCACTTGATAGTGGGGTTCTATACAAGACTTACTACTCTTAAAAATGTAATTCTTAGGCTTTTATTTTTTTTCCTTATGGAGATCATCAGTAATGCCTCTTACTTCTCTGGTTATATTTGTTAATCTTCCTGTGTTCCGGTGTCAGGATGAAGGTTTCAGGGCAAGGTAAACCCAGGTGGACCCTACGGGTAAGTCAAGATCAGAGCTGTCTTTGCCAGGCAATGCTTGTGTATGTACATACATTATCCTCATAATGAAAAGTATAATCAGTGAATTGAGAGAATGAGAACTCTCTGAAATTTCTCATTTGAAAAAAATGTTGCATAGATATATCCTACCTTGAGTACAATGCTGAATTTGGCACATTTGTCTTCTGGATTCTGGTTCTCTTACCCTTCCTGGCTCTTGTTCTCTCTTCTGGCATCTTTCTCTCTCCAGGAGCAAGGAAACTTTCTGTTTTCTACACACCTTTTTGAGGCCCCTGTCAACACCTCAACTAAAACAGGGAATCGGTCACTTCCAGTGTAATAATAAACCCTGCCTAATCCATTCATAGTGATCACTTGTTAGTGACTGTTGGACAATGCTGAAGTATGGGACTGCAAGTTAATATAACGTTGTCACCCTAAGGGAGTTTTCAACCTATCTGAGTATAAAGAATAAACTAAGAATAAAAGTGCCATGTAAGTAGGATTCCTTGTAGGAGTGTGGCTTTATAAGCATTCAGAGGACAAAGATCACTGTGGCCTTGGGGGTGGGACCAGAAGAAAGGTTAGAGAAGCTTGTATAGAGCATCTAAGATGGAACTCTGTGCAGATGGGTTGGTGTGAAAAGGCAAATATTCCTAATGAGATGACAAAAGATAGCTTGACTTCTTCCTGACAAGTGGTGGCCCGGGGCGAAATTTCTGTTTGTGTTGCTAGCCTGGGTTGATTATGGAGGTGATTATTTTAAAAAAATGATACAGAATCAAAATCTCCCATGTGCTGTGACAACCTGAAAGGTCTGGGAAGAAAGAGTAGAGATGGGTCTAGAGCCAAAGGAATGGAGATTGGAGTGACTAGACAAGAGGAAGAATGCACTGAGCAGAGTAAGGAGCAGAGCATAGAATGAGGAGAGTATCATTAGCCATTAAGGGGTTACAACAGAGTGACCAGGGCTAGGTACAAGACAAAACAGTTAACAGTTAATGTTTGCCATTTTGCCAAATGATTTTCACACATAATGTACCACATAAATTTCAGTAGCAGATCCTTGTACAAGTGTCAATTAGACCTTGTCTTCAAAAACAGTGTGTTTGTTTATTCCATGAGTGAAAGAGAGAGAGACATAGATACTGCACCTGAACAGAGTCTTGATACCACAATCCATTCCCCAGACTCAGCCAGTCCCAGATCATGAGCATATGCGTGCCCAGAATACCCAGCAAGGTCTCTGATGTGAAGCTGCAGCCTTCCCGTGTAGTTCTGCCTCCCATGCATTTCATTTCCATGCCTCAGTTCAACCTTCAATTAGGCCACTTTAGCCAAAGCAGAAGGTTCACTTGAGATCATACATGGAGGTACTGAAATACCAGGTTACAACACTAGAACCGCTAATCATGAAAGCAGAAGTGTTCTGTTTGTAAGTAACTTCAATGATGTACTTGTGAAGCAATAAAACCTGAATGTGGGAGTATAGCAGAGGGTGTAGAAAACAAGTAAGACTATGAAAAAATACGTTGTGGAAGTAACTGACAGGAGTTGGTGTCTGAGAGGAAAGAGAAGGACTTGATGGTTACTAATGAAGTTTTTATTTTTATAATTCTCTTTTATAAAAATAATTAATTAATTTACAGTCATTAACTGTACATCAATACAGTATACAAAATGAGGTTTTCCATACAGTATACATTGTATATTGGCTCAATCAAGGATATTACCATACAAGTTATCATCAAAAAATAATTTTCTATTTCTTGTTTCTTATATATTTTGCTTCCTTCCCCCTTGATTCCCTACCTCTCACTCCTTTCAGCACTTCCTGGAGAGCTGGACTGGTGCTGGTAAATTCTTTCAGGTTTTGCTTATCTGAGAATGTTTTTGTCTTCTTTTCCCATATGAAAGATAATCTTTTTGGGTACAGTATTCTTGGTTGAAATTGTTTTTCACTTAACACTTTGAATATATTTTCCCATTCTTTCCTTGCTCGCATTGTTTCTGATGAGAGGTCCAGCATTAGCCTTATGTGGGATATCTTTTGAGACTTGACTTTTCTTTCTTGCTAATTTTAGTATCTTGTCTCTGTCTGTGGTTACTGATGAAGTTTTGAGCCAGGGAGATTTGGGCAATGACAGAAAGGATAAAATAAGGTTGCTTTTCTTATGGGTTTTTCTTTCTGTAGCTTTATCTGTAAATGTGAAAAGGTTTTGACCTCTGCTTAAAGAATCTCTAGCTCAGATGGCAGGGGCCTTCTGGAAGAGGTATTGATACATGTCATAGCATTTGAACAATCCGCCACTTGGGTGAGTTTGGGAAGACCGTTACATGAAGCAATGGTTGGGTCCATTCCCTGATTACTGTTATTTATTTATCTTTTGTAGAAATGTTAGCTATGTTTTGAAGAGGCCACAATTCTAAAGGATAACAGCCTTTTAGGAAGAGTAACACAAAAATATCATGATAGGCAGTGTGTTGAGAATGAAACATGAGGCCTGAAGGTTGGCTCTATCCAGTTGACCAAGTGAGGAGCTGAGCAATCCTGTTTGCTCTTCAAGTCTACTTATTAAGGACCACTAGAGAGCTATTTGATCCATAAGTTGGCTGGAAAATCTAGATTCATGAGTGTCTTAGTTCATTTCGGCAGCTGTAACAAAATGCCATAAACTAGGTAGTTTAAAAAGACAGAAATTTGGGATAAGTGGGTAGCATGGTGGTTAAGGCACTGGACTCCCACATGATCAACTGTGGTTTGAGTCTCAGACATGGTGAATTGAAAATCATTCTGAGTATGTGGGCATGCATGTCCAAAATCCCAAGGGGAAAATGGAGGAGAAGGGATTGTGGTATGATCATCCCTCCTGGGGAGTGATTTCTCACTTTTCCTCTCCCTGTGTCTC